GTCTGGAAGAACATACTTCAAACCAATTATTCTATATAATAAAATTAGAGGTATTATATATATTTATTTTTTATTGTATAACTATAATCAAGTTGAAAAATTATTATAAGAAATAAATACCTTATGAATAACCACAGAGAAAAAGAAATTTAATGGAAAAACATGACTCACAAGAGAAAAGCACTTCAACAACCCCAATAGTGTGTTTATTAATCATATATAATATCAATAGAATTAGTTGTCTAATACTGATTACACTTTCATAAATATAGGGGAGAAATAGTTGAATCTAGAAAAGACAATTCTTAAAATATATTCACCAATAGATATTAAAATAAAGAACTTAAAATATACATTAGAATTTAGAAGTATAGTCCTTTTCACACCCTTACTATTTAGTTGAAATTTTGATTCATTTTTGAGGGGTTGCCAATATTAAATTCAAGTTTCTATTTTATAGAGAGAGGAATAATACTGTCAGAAAAGATGTAAGTTCCTATCTTTAATCAATTACCAGAATTCAGTATTAAAATTCATATGTAGAAAATAGTGAATTAAGGGGAAATGGGAAGGATAGGGGAAAGGTAATAAGGGAAAAGGAAAAAAAATATGAGAAAATGGAAATAAAGTATTTGTAAATAGGGAAGGGAGGAGGGGATGAAGGGAGGGCAGGGATATGGGGAAAAAATGATAACCAAGACCTGTCATGTAAAGGTGCAAGATCCCAATGATGAATGCAACTGTACTGTATACCTAAAATGTACCAATAAACTCAATGAGAAAAAAAAGAGAAAATAGTGAATTAAATGTTGACACATTTAATAAGAAACAGATTATTCAGTGTTTATGTAAATGAATTCAGTTTTAGATGTATCATAAATTAGTTGTTTTGTATTTAAATAGGTAGTATTAAATGTATAAATTATGAACAGTTGTCAGTATTTTTTCTTTTTTCCTCCAGCCTTTCTGAGGTATGATTGACAAAGATTATGTTTATTTAAGATATATAATTCAGTGATTTGATGTACATATATGTACATTGTAAAATTATTACAATAAAGAAAATTAACATTTCTATTACCTCACGGTTACTCTCATAACTGCTATTTTGTTTTTATGAACTCAGCTTTTTAAAGATTCCACATGTAACTGATTTAAGAGTACAAACTTTAAATTATAAGAGGGATAAGTTTTGAGGATCTGATGTATAAAACATGTTGGTTATAGGCAGTAATATATTTTACATGTGAAATTTACTAAGAGATCTTAAGTGGTTTCATCATACAGATGAGGGCAAGAGCTTTGGGAAGATGGTTAAAATTTGTTGAATGGTGAGCCTTTTAAAGATTCCCATAGACACTAATTTTCTTTAATACCAAGATAGGTTTAATTTGTCATATAAAAAACCTGATCTTTAGTATTGAAAAAAGTAAAACATAAAATTAAAGGTGAAGTTTTTCAGTGTTGTTTCTATATTTATAAAATGTAAATTTGTACACACACATGCACACATATATATGTATTCATAATGTATTTGTGTATATATGTATATATGTGTGTGTTATGTATTGTGTTTGTGTATGTATGTATGTATGTATTTATACTGGGGACTAAAATCGGGATCTTGCTCTTTTGAGGCATGCAGTGGAACCACTGAACTAAGTCCCCGCCCTGTGTATATATTTTTTTGGAGAACATTTTTTAAAATTCACTAAATAGCACATTTTATACACTATGATCTGTGGTAGTCACTGCTTTTATAGTAGTAAAACAAAGGTTTCCATACTTAGGGATCTCAAATCTAGTATGAGATAATAATGAAACAAAAAAATACAATTAAAGTTTTTGTTAAAGAGTGATTAAGTACAGTAATGTAGCAAGAGAACAGGAGCCTGAATTGCCTGTGTGATGGTCTGAGATTACTTTTTAACAAAGAACTCAAGGATAAGGAGGGGACAGCCATGATGGGAGTTGGAGGGAGCTTTCCAGGAGATGGCCATGAGGCCAAGAAAGGCTCAGAGGCTGGAGAAGGGAGAAGCCACAGAGTAAGGCCACTGACTTCAGTGGTGACTGTATGAATGAATCACAAGACAAGTAACATTTTGACAGTAGGATTGCAAAGTAGATCTTACGTTCTTGCACTGCTACACCATTTCTTTATTGACTGGGATTTGTCTTATTTATTTGACCCTCCATAGATAACTGGAATGATTTTACAATCTATAAAAGTATTAAATTACAAGTGGATGAACACATTAAATAGTTCCTGGAATATATTTAAATTGGTTGGGAGAATATTTAAGAACTGATGCTCTCATAGGCTGAAGTTTCCTTTGGATTTTAGCAGAGTCAAGGGTGTGGAGTGTTTCCTGTATAATACTGGCTGAGAGGGAGATGTAGCTAGTCAGATAGTAGCAACCTCTATCCCTAAGACTAAAAAAAAATACTGAACTGTCTGTCCTTACTCTCTCATTTTTTCTGTGGACATCTTGGCCTCTTGGATAATGCGTCAGATGTCCAACTATGTAGTTGGTGATAAAATTAAAGAAAGCTTTACTAGTCTGCTTGACTACAATCAAGTGGTCCTATGAAATACTTGGTAATATAGTTTCTAAACTTTTTCTCACTTTTCTGGCACTGAATTTAACTGAGTTCTTAGGAGTTTTCTTGTCTTTCCCTGACCTTTGTTTAAAATGATGCTGATTATATATGAGCGCTTAGGTTTTATTTTTCTGTCATCATGTCCATTCTTATAAGACAACTGTGCTAAATCATGTTATTTATTCAACAGACTTTTTAGTGCCATGTTTCTCTCTGTTATTTCTTCATCATAGAGAAGGAAATATTCTTGGACTTTGTCCATGTGTGAATGTGGGAAACTGACATGAAATAATTGAACAAATGTAGATAATTAGAGATTGTTTTAGGTGCTATGAGGAAAGTACAGGGTGCTCTGAGAGGATGATTTTGTGGCTTCTTTGGGTAGGTCCACCAAGGAAGGAATTTCTCTGTAGATGTTTTAGGTATAATTCTAAAAGATAAGAATCTAGCAAAGGAAAGTAGAGATAAAGACCCTGAGGACTTTATCTCTTCCAAAGATGTTGATTGTTTTTATTTTAAAATGGAAGATTTTATGTGCTACTGAGCTCTAACTGACCACCATTTTCAGTGTCAGTTGAGGGCACAAAACAACATTTTTATTTTTGCCAATTATATACTGTTAAGCTTGTGTAGAAAGGTGTATATTTATTTGCCTGATTTTAAAGTATGGCAGGAAAAAAAAACATGAAATGAGTACAAAGTGATTATTCAATATGTAATTGTTGTGCATTTGTTTAATGTTTCTTTCGCTTTCAATTTTTAATACTGGGAATTTTGCCAGGGATTTAGCTCAGTGGTTCCAGTGCCTGCCTCGGAAGCAGAAGGACCTGAGTTCGATCCCCAGTACCAAAACAACAACAACAACAACAACAAAATACTGGGAATTTGAAGAACTGTTAGTTGTTGGAAGAAGTAGAACCAAGACATTTGCAATACTGTTAGATGTTGAAGATCAAGAGAAGTTAAACAGGAGCAGAAAGATGAAAGAATAAGATAGAGAGAGAGAGGGATCTTGTACCTTTGCGTGACAGGTCTTGGTTCTCATTTTTTGTAAAGGTATAATAAGATCCCAATAATGAATGTAACTGTACTGTATACCTAAAATGTACCAATAAACTCCATGAGGAAAAAAAATAAGATGGAGAGGGAGAAGAATCTCATGCACTGGCTAGTCAGTGTGGTTATATGGAAAAGTCTTTATGTGTTCTTACTATTTCAAAATTAATTCAGTGCTCATGTATGAAACTGTTGTCTGCACTGAAAAACTTCAAGCATTTTCTCCATTCAATCCCTTTTAGTTTAATTTGATCTGAAGCAACATAAATTTATCTACCAGTGATTCCTGTGGGAGACTTGCTGTGTTTCACAGGCATCACAGATGTGTGGCTAGGGAAGTAGTTTTTCAAATGCCTGAAGTTCTTTTGCTATCTTTAAATCTTTTGAAAGCCGCGGAAGTTATATCAAGTCTTTATTTTAACCTTATTAGAAAACTGCAAGAGGAAAAGGAAGACATGGTTGATGCTTGCCTACTTATTTAGAAATGGCCTTTAAAAAAAAAACAACAAAAAAAACCCCAAAACAGGAAGTTAGTTTCCATATATTCTGTGGGTTAAAAGCCAAAGTACCTAGATGGCATGAGTCCAAGCTGCAAGCCAGGTTGAGAACAGGATTTTCAAAATGTGTGCATTGTGTGAGTTCAGGGAAGGAGAATGAAAGTAAAACATAGAACATCAGAAAATTTGACTTTTTTTTCTTTGAGCCTAACTAGGAAATGGGATTACATTGTTTTGCTTTTATTTTCTTCATACCAGTAGCCTTTCATGTGATCCTCTTGCAAAAAATATGAAGGTTTCACTGCAGTTTGAGTAATTGTAAATGATTGTCTCTTTTGAGAATCTCTCATTCTAGCTTATTTAATTAAAATTTAATAATTTAGCCATGTAAATCCAGTTAACAGACCTTTGTTCATTTAGGAAACTAACAAAGTTCATGCATCAAAGCAAAAATCAACGTAAAATAAAATAGATGTATAAGCTTAATGAGGGATAAAATGTTTATTCATTTTCTTCATTTAAGGGTTGTCTCTATTCACGGTAATGGGGTCAATGATAGTTTGTGTGTGACCACACTTGGTTTTGAACTAGTCCTTAGAAATGCTTGATGGCACTGCTAGCAGTATCATTTTCAAATATATCTATATCAAAGGACTAGAGAATGTCATTATACTTTACTGTTTTCCTATGTACCTTTGCCAAAATCTGTATGTAGTTGTAGCCTGTTATTGACTACACTGCTTAAAAGCAAATTGGAAAGTACACAATGGGATAACATTATAGATGCATTTAAAATCCAAGTTCATAGCACTTGAATATAAAAGAACAATTTTATATATTTTACAGAAAACGTATGTTTCAGAAGAGATGGGTGAAATTTGATGGCCTTAGCATTTCTTACTACAATAATGAAAAGGTAAGTACATTGTACATTTGTCAAAGATTGTTTTATGCACATTAAGTGTAATCTAAACAAGTGGATATGGATTTTAAGTGTAGGAGATGGATTATCAACGTAAAAATAATTTGACTGTGATAAAATACAGTAGGCCTTTTTAAATTTTACTTCTTGATAACACACAAAGCTGAGACTTTTTCACTTATATATCTAACAATTATTTCCGGATTGTCTTCTATAAAGCATAGAAAATGCACTGAATGATACAAAGATGAATAAGCAGTTCCCTTTATCATGCTGATCACTGAACAGTTTCTACAAACACTTTAAATAGAAAATGGCAAAGCAAGGGGGTGTTGCTTCATTCTGGGGGGCTGCTGTGCATGAGAGCTCATCTGCCATGAGTCTTGAGGAAAGGGGAGTGTTTGTATACACAGAAACTAGAGAGAACAGGGCTTCTTAGTGGAGAGCATAGTGAGATATTCACATGGGAAACTGTGAACCTGAGAATCAATCATGTAGCTTTTTTTTTTTTTCCATGATTGGAGAACAGAGTCTGTGAAGGAGACTTCTGGGAGATGAAAATGAGAGGGTTGTTTAGGGTTACAGCTCATTGGAAATCCTGACTCTTAGGTGATAGTGGTTACCGTGTTTGTTTTGATACGTAAGTCTTAGTGACACGGCAGAGTTCTGCGCTTGTCTTATTATGTATCCATAGGAGACATAGGTGGAAGTATTTATTGGGTTTATATCATTGTACCTGCTAATGTTTTCTACATGTTACCCCTATATATTTACACACAATTAAAACAAATTTTAAAGATGTACAGTCAGCTTGTGGATTGTGAATAAGTTCATTGACCTATGTGAATCAGAAATACTTGAAAAAAATTGCATCTGTAGTGAATATGTATAGACTTCGTCTTTTCATTCCCCAAATGACTTAGCATCACAAACTGTTTGTATAGCTTTTATATCATACAAGATAGTATAATCTGAGATGATTTGAAATATATAGGAGCATATATTTAGGTTATATGAAATACTATATCATTTGATAGAAGTAACTGTAACATCTATGGATTTTGATGTAAACAGGTTCCTGGAACCAGTCCTACCTCAGATACTGAGGTACAACTGTAGTCATTTGTCAAATCTAGATAACAGATGTTTGGGTGTTCATTGTATTACCCTTTTAACTTCTCTGTTTGGAGATTTCCTTAATAAAAAGTTGGAACTAATAAATATAGCCTATTTTTAGTTAGTTAATATTAGATGATTTGATCTTAACTCATAGATTCACTTCAATATTTTCAGCTTAATCATCATCTCTTTATAGCTTATAATCTCACATTTTTTCATTATTTAAAGATTAACCCTACTTAATTTTGGTGATATTCATGGCTTGAATAGAGATTGCATATATTACTTCTTTAGTGCTCTGAAAGAGGAGTATATTCTCCCAGACAGAAAATAACACCAACTGCAACATAACACATGCTGTATGTTCTGATTCTGAGAAGAAATAGAAGGTCTAGAAAAGTGTTAATTATTTTCCTTTATTTTGCAATGATCCATGTAATCAACAAATAAATTTAAACTCATTTCTTTTAGGATTGCAGGATGGTGGGATGAGTGTTTTTAAGAATCTGGTTATCTGCTTTAGTTATTTCTAGTTTGTTTGTATTTTAAATGTCCTGACACCTTCTATATTTAAGGTTAGTGCAACATAAGAGCCTTGTGCAATATGGTGCAATGTCTGATGGAACCTGACTACTGGATTTTAGCACCTGTGCCCTTTTTTGGTTTCATTGAAATGAGGATAGTTAATTAGGAGGGAGACAGGCTTCTATGCCACAGGGGTCTGTTGCTGATGGTTTTCTTTTCCCCATTGAAGAGAATTTTTAGTAACGTGTTACTTGGGATATTTTTTTCCTTCTGTCCTTTCAGACTTCATCTCAATTGCAGTGAAAAGAAAAGCCTATTTTATATATATATTTTGGGGAGTACCAGGAATCGAACTCTGGTCCTTGCACTTGAAAGGCAAGTGGTGGAACCACTGAGCTAAATCCCCAGCCCATTATATTTTTACATATTGATGCAATAAAAATAATGCAGACTTGATTTGAAATTGAGATGAAAAATTTCTATTATATTGGATTAGTACAAATCAGTTAGCTTCAGCCTTTAGCTTAATATAATTTTTAAAACACCAAATTGTTTTTTGCTATGGCATTTCATTTCTGTATTGTCTGGGTGATTGGTTTCATCTTGGGAAAATAATGAAAACAACATGGGAGTGGGTGTTTTGTAAAAGGAGGCGCTGGTTTACTGTGACCTTGTGGCAAAAGGCACCTATAAGTGTGGTTACTATCCCATCTGACTGCAATTTCTGCAGCTGTGTGAACAGAGAAGTTTGGGTTGCCCTTCCGAGGAGCTCACGGTTGGGCATTTGGGTGGTTGTGTGCAGAGTTGCCTATTTCCCTGGCTATGTTCCACTGTCCTCATAGTTTCCCAGTCATTCTCCACTAAGACTTCACTTTGTGACAGAAAATTCATTGCCTCAGCCTTGATATCTTATCCCCTGCTAAGAAATCTAAGTCAACCCCTCACTCACTCAGCTGTGGGCAGAATTGTCCTGAGATCGTTTCATTGTCTGAAAGTGGTCAATGAATGATAAATTTGACCTAGATATCTAAGTGTTACAGGCTCAAGGGATGCTTTAAAATTTCTTTCCTTAAGGAAAATTTTACACTCTGAAAAATACGCATTTTGAGCCTGTTGTCCTTTGAGTACTTTTTCTTATATTGTCTTTATCATGTCTCCTTACAAAAGAAATATAAAATCAACTCTGCAGTGTTAAAAAAAATTACAACATTTACCTTGGGATCTCATGATAGATTATAAATGAGTTGTTAGAGAAACTACAACTTCCTGAGGTTAAATTGATGTAGTGTTTAGCTTGTTAAGTATATTTTGATCACTGATGGGAATTCTTTTTTTTTTTTTTTTTAATTTTTCTAGCAGTACTTACCTGTTAAACATATTGTTGTTATAGGCATGTAGGTTGTTATTTTTAAAATATTTTTAAAAAACACTTAAAGAGATCTGGTTAAAAATAGAATCTCTATTTCTGTTTGTTATTCTAAAGTAGTGCTTATGTTTTCTTCACTGAAAAGTGGGTCAAAGGTAACATTTAAAAATAGTTATCATTCAGGAGTTTTTTTTATATAAATCTAATTTTTATGCAAGCTAAAGTTTGGGAACAGATTATCTGAGTGATAAACTCTAAATTATTGGACATTTTAAATTTACCATTGTTACCAGCCACTACACAGTTATAACAGAGTATCCCTTGAACTGTCCTCGAAGAAACTCCTCCTCTTCCCAACTCCTTCAATTCTTTGACCAGGGGGTGATGTTCATTCTCTCTTACCAATTTCCAGAACACTTAATGGTTTTGTTTTGTCCTTATCCTGACATTTTAACCTACTTGTGTTTTCAACATTTCCTTTGCTAAATCAGTCATGTCATTTTTTGTTTTGTTTTGTTTTGTTTTTGAGACAGGGTCTCACTATGTAGTTGAGATTGACCTGGAACTCACTATGTAGCCCAGGTTGGTCTCGAACTCAAAGCGATCCTCCTGCCTCAGACTCCTGAGTGGTGGGATTACAGGCATGCACCATCATGCCTGGCATGTCATGTATTTTTTTATAATGATCTTTTTCAGTAATATCTGAGCATACACAGTAAAAAATTTGGGCCTCATTTTACCCTTCACTTTTCCCCTCTTTATATGTTTCTTTTTCACTTTCATCTGAACCTCTTTAACCATTGCCATCCACCAAAAGTCCTATGCAAACTTCAAGATCCGTCCTATTCTCCTCATAAGTCTTCTTTTTATCTTTTCCAACTGTATGTTACTTGAACAGTGTTATGCAGGGAAGTATAAAAGGAAACCAGGCTGAAACTATGGAACCAAATCAAGAGAGTGCTGTAGTAAGCCAGTCATTAATTTATGAGAGTTTAGATTGGTGCTAGTTTCAGTAGAAATGATAAAAAAATGAATTTAAAAATATTTAAAATGAGCCATTAGAGTTTGGTATAGTTGTGATTGATCAGACATAGCATTAGATTATTCAGAAAAGGTTTTTATAGCACTGACTATAAGAAAGGTGTTTAGGGAAATAGATAAATGACCTACAATGTATTTGAAAAGACTGTATTCATCAAACAATCACATTTGGCTATACCAAACACTTTTTAAGTTACAATGAGGAATTACAGGTTGTTATCAGCTTAAATTAGGGCTAACTGCTTGAGAGGAAAGGCTAGTCAGAAAGGTATTCTTCAGAAGGTACATGTAAGGTGAAATGTGATGATTGGGTAACCGTTAAGGGTGCTGGCAAAGGACATTTAAAGCAAGCAGCGTATGCAAAGGTGCTGGTTTGGACAGACATGTTACATTCAGAGAAGTGGTATGTTCAGGAAACCTCAAGAAGGCCAACCTAGAAATCCGTTGCCAAACGATGGATAATTTTGGCACCATAGATTAGGGAGATCTGGGTAATGTAGATGCAGAAGATGAGCCCGTGCCAAAAGCTACTCCATCCTATCTCAAGCTTAGGAGAAGAGCGTTATTTTAATGGGCAGACACCTAGGGAGGGTAAGTTTCCAGATGATACTGACTTTAGTTTTCAAGTTTGAACTACTTACAAGACAGTTAAGTATATTATTGATTCAAAATGTAAGAGTGAAATGAAAACATAAGTAAGAAGATGAGAGCAAGGGAAGAGAGAAGGAAAGAGTGTTTAGATTTCTCCCCATAAAGCTGGTTAGTTACATTTGAGGGAAGGGATTTCCACCTTGGCTAGAGATGACTAAAAAAGGATGGGAGGGGGTCAGTGGTTTCATAAGGGCTTGCTTCATAACGTCCTGTCCTTTATGAGATAGCTGTTCATCCTTGTGAATCACAGTCTAAGTATCATGTTCAGAATTCAACTGCCTGGGAGGACATAAGAAAGAAAGCCTACATGACATTGATGTTTAAGGTATTAAGAAATGGATGGGATTTTAAAAATTTATTTTATTTTATTTGGGCTTGAACTCGGGATCTTGTGCTTGCAAGGCTGGCAGTGGCACCACTGAGCTAAATCCCCAGCCTCGGGGTTTTAATGGAGACATAAAGTCAAGGATATGAGATTGGAGCACAGCCTGTGAAGAAGGAATTGTTAAAGAACTAAGGGAGACTAGCACTGTGGTATGGTACATCTCCTCCCCTGGGAGAAGGGGAAAAGCCTTCTAGGACAATGTTATGTTGCTGACAGATGTGGCTTTTCTATCTGCTGTTGCAGGAGTTTACATCTGGAGTGTGAATTTTGTTTCTACTCTCTGCGAGAAGTGGTGTAGTACATTTTATTTAGCCATTTTAGATACAGGGAATCTACTCTACCTAGGCATTCTGTGGCTCATGCTGTGGATGGGAATGGAAGAGTCCCCTTAAGGATGTGTCCACATTCTTCTGATTTTCAAGACTTTACATAATGTTTCCAGGCTTGTGTCTTTGGGCTCTGTGTTGCTACATCTTAATTGTTTGCTTTACACCTCCATTTTCTTTCTTTCTGAAAATAACGGTCACCACCCACTTATCAGCTTGGTTGAAGTGAAAGTTTCTTAAAGTCAAGCTCAAATGTCACCATATTTGTGAAAACATCGTTCACCACTTTTAAGCAGAAATGAGAATTTCTATCTTTGTACTTATGTATCTTTTACTTCGTGTTCTATTTTAAACTTGCTGTCATTATACTAAGTTATTTTCAATTTTGAGGCACCTGGAATGTATCAGGACTCTGAGTTTTCTAACAGGGGACCTGGTAAATATTATACCCTTATAAGTAGTTGATATTGTAGGATGTTCATCCTAGCAAATGATTTGTGAAGGTCCAAGAAAATGAAGATTGAGAAAAGAAACTACCAGAGACTTAAGAATGAAATTTTTCACTAAAATTGTGTATATGCCAATTGCAAGCAGCTAAATACATTTTTTTTTTTTTACCGTGTGGTCATGGGAGGGGGTGTAAAACTAGATGCAGTGTAAGATTAAGATCCTAATTATCAAAGCATTGCATAACATGATTAATTCATCAAATCCAACAGGTTTCTTGGTTATTTTTTATTCCTAGTAGGTAATAGTCATTTCTAGGTGGTTCACTTACAGTACCTGTTGTGGCCAGCAGATGCCTGCAAACACCATAAAATCATTTTGAACAGATAGTTTTAAAGAACATGCTGCTGCTTTTTGGAACTAACAGTGCTTTTCTACTATGATTGTTCGTATTTTATTCTTTGTCTTTTGATCCCAGATGAAGAGAGAAGTAAAAAGATATTTCATTTAAAAGAAAGGGACATTTAATATTATCTTTTCTGGGGTATTAAATCAATGCATTTTATGTCACTTTAAAAATTGGGATAGAAATTTTGTAAGAGAAACAGATAACTATTGTATCATACTTTTTTGATAAGATCAAGAAAATTTTATTTTAATGTGTCTTCATCTTTTTCTCTAACCAATTTAGGAGATGTATTCAAAAGGAATAATTCCCCTCTCTGCTATATCTACAGTACGAGTTCAAGGAGACAACAAATTTGAAGTTGTTACAACACAAAGAACTTTTGTGTTTAGAGTAGAAAAAGAAGGTAATATTACATTATTTATCCTTATAAAAACACATTAATTTCTTGCCTGATTAATAAATCAGGTAATATAGAAATATGAAAAAACTTCCAAATAGTTTGCATTTTAAAGTAGTATTTTAATACACAAAGTTAAAACCTAAATAAATTGAATCATTATGTTCCTTATTTTTCGTGATAAATTTTAGCATGGACCAATTTCACTTTTGGAAAGTTGTATGTATGTATGTATCACTGAGGTGAGAAAAAGTAGACAAAAGTCTCTGATCTCATGGAGCTCATTGTAAGCACTTCTTTTGATAATGCAAATAGTTATTTAATATGCAAAAGCAGTTTTCCTATTAAGTTGATTTTATGAAGAAGTTTCTCCAGTTCAAGTTTTTAGCTGACTATACAGGCACAATAATCATTCTTCTAGCTATTTTGAAGCATCTGTTACATTTCTTAAATTCATTTCACATGTTTTATCTGTAATGGATCACTTAATGTAATGGTAAAATTGATCTAAAGGTGTCATTTATTTTCTGGATCAAGTGTAAAGGAGTACATAGAAAACTTTCCTGAATTTTGTTTATTTAGGGAGAGAGAATCTAGGGAAATTAAAAGTTCTATGTTTTATATTTTGGCTATCATGATATGCTATTACTATAAATGTCACTAGTTAAAAAAATATCGATAAGGCCATCTCCTTAAAGAATTGGAATTTTACATCATTTTTGAGGAGTGCTTTCATTTTGGCATAGGTGTATAATTAAGCTTGATTTCTCAAAAGTATGTCTTGGTTCTTTGTTTGAATTGTGGTGGGATAGCAAACTTACTGAATACTTAATGTGTATCAATCTGCTATGTCCATTTTCCCAACAGTCTTAGAAAGTAGGCATTGCAGTTGTGCCGCTTTACTGAGAAGAGTATTCACCGGCAGTTGGAAGCTACTACAGTGTTAACTACCATGGGACAACATCGTCATCTTTTTTAAAAACTCGATTTCCTACAACATATAAGACCATAATTGGCATGAAGAAAGCATTCGATAAATATAACCCTAGAAAATTCCCATTGTTGCGTGGGATGATCTGTAATGTGTATATTCCAGCTGTCCTTCACACTTAACTGTTTATTTTTCCCCCCAAATCTGGGTTACTCCTGATTTGTGAGATCAGTTTTATGATGCTGCCAAAAACAAAATAAGTACTGAAGTGTGTTTTTGTTTGTAATAAACAAACACCTATGAATATGCTATATGATATTTAAAAGACTAATCAAAAGCTGTGTTGTTGGAGCAGAGGCCAGCAAACTACAGCCTGTGTCCTACATCTAGCTACTTCCTGTTTTGTAAATGAAGACTTGTGAGTTCCCAGCCACTCACTCTCATTCACTTTTATATTCCCTTAAGGCTGTTTGCTTCCCCTGTCCCAGAGACCTTATCAAGGATTCACTATGTGAGGAGCCATTTTTCTGAATGGTAGCCTGAAATTCAGAAAGTCACCTATAGTTTTGATATTTGAGAAGGGATTTGCATTTGACTGTTGTGTTTTTTGTTTTTTTTTTGTTTTGTTTTGTTTGTTACTGGGCATAGAACCTTGGTCTTTGCGCTTGGTGGCACCACTGAACTAAATCCCTGGCCCAGGGATTTGTATTTGAAACCAGTTTGCCTCTTCATGTATTCCTTCTAACACACAGCATTGCTCTTCTGGATTGGCCATTGTGACAGTCTTTTCTGCCCAGAGAGGTGACTGACTGTTTTTTGACTTCCCCTTGGCCTCTCAAAATGAATTTCACATATACCGTATAGTCTCTGTGTTAAGGTAGATATACTAAAGCTTCCAACTTGTGAAAATCTTGTTTCTTGCTGTTTAAAATTAAACAGACACATTTTATTTAAATAGGATGTATAAATGCACACATAGTTAAAAATTACATGTTTACCATGGACCAATATAATCCTTCTGGAGCATGTGGTTCATTTTTGTGATGTAAACTTCATATAAGAATTTTATGAACCTTGATATAAATTTATTACTTGTTAAATAAAATTGTGGGTCTTTAATTTTTGAAACCTTGGAAACATTGCATAAGTAAAAACTGATTGTATCCCCTTACAATTACTGTGTAGGTTTCATTGAAAGTTATTTTTACATAGTGACTCACATTCTTAAAAGAGGTGTGTGTTCAAGCATATGTGTGTATATGTATATATATTTATATATAAGGGATATATGTGTCATTGTATAGAGAACCTTTAAAAAGATACCAATTTTTTTTGTTAAATGATCTTTCTTCCTCTCACATGTACAAGTGCTTATTTTGTGGGAACTGAAAAATGAAAAGTTTTACTTAATGCGCTTTAGGCTAAATCTAATGCTTCCATTTAATGAAGATGCAAAATCAGAGTTTAGCACAGAAAGGGGAATATTTCAACATCTTAACAAAGATAAATTCTTCATTTTTGGTGAAGAAGTTCTGAATCATCTGTTTACAACAGCTACCCTGGAACTTCTCTGAAATCAGTGTCACTATTTCTAAACTGCTTATCCCCTACTGGCTTGGCTAATATAGTATTACCATCTGGTGTCTTTTCCCTACAGATTTTCTGAGGCTTCAATTCTCCAAGTTTTCTAATAAAATATTGTTATTATCTTAGTTGAAAATTAAATAACAACATTTAAAAAAATTCGATCCCCAGTACCAAAAAAAATTAAATGTACTCTTCCGCAAGTAGAAAATTTAGTCAGGTTCTTCTTGCTCTTGAGCAGAACCAGTGGATTTGGGTGAGAGTCATACAGCTCAGGATCTCTTCAGTCATTTTCCCTGGGCACCTGTAGTCACCTGTGTGGATACAGTATGTTTCTTCCATGTTAGCACATCCTAGACCCCTGAGAAACAGGCAGGTATGCTATTCTCCTTACTCTTTGCTACCTGGATTCAGTCTGTTTTATTTTTGTATTTGCCTTGATGACCCTTTCCCATTTTTCGTCTTATTTTGGATGTATTTTTGTCTTAATATCTTATTTTGTCTTAATAATCTCTTCATTTGTTTTGGTGGCTCATTTTCTTGCGTCATAGGCACAGTCGTACACCTCTAGGCTTGTCCAGTTTTGTCCTTTTCCATTAAATTCTTAGCCATGCCTATGCATCTTCCTTTGTTCACCTGTTGCTGTCATTCTGCACAGGGACCTGTGCCACAGCGTTGAAAACCTGAGATGGTCTTTTTGATTAATTGAATCTTCCCACCTTCTTCATCTGACCAGTTCGGGACACCAAGCTACGTTTTATTCTGATTAATTTTTTTAAGTGAACATCCATCAATGTTGTTCAAAACTTTAGCTAGCTAGTTTTCATTCTCAGTATCTTTACTCTTAATGTGTTCGTTTCCATTTTCTTTTGACTTTAAGTCTTATTTCTGATCTCTAAACTTAGTTTGGCCCATCTGTCATCATCCTAATTATCCTGAACCTATAACTTGCCTGCTAATCACCCTGAAACGTATTTTGTCTGCCTCTTTAATAAGAATGAAATTCCCTAAACAGGCAGTAAATATCTTGTAGCCACATTTTCCATTTTTTCCTTTGTGAGTTCAAAATTATAAATATATTCACTAAATTAGTTGCAGAACAGATACTGGTTCCTCTTGGCTTTGTTCTTGTGTTGGTCTTGGTCAAAATTCTACTCTGTTCTTCCCTCTTTCAAGTGCCAGTTTTGTCTTTCAGATTGCTCCTCATCCTCTTGAGACACATAATTCTCTTTAGTTCATGGTTCCCCAAAAAGCTGAGTGAAAGTTAAAACATTTGATTGTCCTGATTTTAATATTAACTTGCTAAATGACCTTCAGCAAATCACTTACCTCATCTGAATTGACTCATATATTATTTATTAACATTTGTATGACATTTATAACATTCTGTGTTACATTATGTGTTCAAATCTAACTGGACTTACACTTTGATTGCTCTTTGGGGACAAATAGCATTTGTATGCCCCAATACAGTGCGTTGTATATATTTAAAGGTCACTCAGCTTTTGTGGAGGGGGTTGGGAGTACCATATTTAATTAGCAGTAGAAATGCTCTTGTTACTGTTGAGGATGGGAAGGGAAATTGAATATTCAGGCTTTGTCACAAACACTCTATTAATTGCTGTGTAGCAATATTACTTTCTTCTATACAAAGAGAAAATCCAGTGTCATAAGTCACCCAAAAAAGTGTTTCTCAGACTTCACAAGGACACTAGTCACCTAGAGTTGATTTTATAATGCAGACTCTGATTTATCAGGTCTGGAATGGGGCCTGAGAAAGCATTTCTCATATGCTCCCAGTAGAGGCCAATGGCACTGATTCTGGAACAACTGAGTAGTGTTACTTTTTTTTCCCTTAAAGAGCTGGGTCCTTGGCTCTCCCTGCAATAGCATTTAAATTGTGGTTGTGAGAAAGTATGTGATTTATCTCTTTCAAAGAAAGCAAATTCCTTGTTGGTATTTCTGTGTCTGTACAACTTAAATGTAGATTTATGTATTTTCTTGTATTTTCAGAGGACAGGAATGACTGGATCAGCATACTCTTAAATGCACTGAAGTCACAGTCCTTTACTCCTCAGTTTCAAGCATCCGTTGCACCTGAGAAGTGTGGATATCTTGAACTGAGAGGGTACAAAGCCAAAATTTTTACTGTACTAAAGGGAAGCAGTGTGTGGCTTTGTAAAAATGAGCAGGTGAGTTTTGTTACATTAATTGGAAATTGCTTTTTTTTATTATAATAGCAATTGTGTTTTGTTTGAGTTTTTAGAATTTTATTTATGGAGCCTTATTTTTGTGTTGAGTCTCATTAGAACAGAGAAGTTCAGAAAAGTATCTACATCCATTTTGAGTCTGGACATTAAGGGGATGAGGAAAAAGAATTTCTGAAAGTAATTTTTGAAACATATTCCTTAGTTGAAGTAAAATAAAACTATGTGAGAAAATAATCAAGAACCAAATCACCATTATAGCTGTTGATGAAGTAGGTCCAATTCTGCACCTTGTGTGCCACTTTTGTTTTTGTAATAGAATGTTTTAGAGTTAGCACAGGTAATTGAGTTTATAATATTTTATTGGTCTTTTTTTTCCCTTTTTAGTAGATATATTGCTTCTGTGAAACATAAGTGAGATAAGTGAGAAATATATGTATACATACACACACAAATCCCCAAACACGCATACGTATATCTGCACACACATACCTCATGTACATAAATTAAGTAGACTTGAATTGTTGAGGTTTTAAACTTGATTGATATGAAAATGCTCAATAGAGAATTTAAATAGTTTTGAGGAGTCTGATGGTGAAATAAGTGTTAACAAGTGTTATTTAATTCTGTATACTTTAATGTTTCTGATTTTCAATATGTAAAAGAAAATTCTTGTTTATCTCTTTTTGGGTATATTTTATTAGTTTTTAATCTTTCAGCCTAGGATATATTAGTTGCTTAGCGATCATTTGCAGCATTAATCAGTGTCCTTTGGATATCTAATCTAAGAGAAACTCATTTTATTATACATTATAGTAGGTTATGGTAAGGTGAAGTATGAATGTTATTTGCTTAACAAAAAAGAGATACCAATTCTAAACAAGCATAGTTTCAAAAAAATTAACTGCACTGTTTAGATCTTTATCTAAGGCATCCTCTGAACTTTGGTGTGAACTTGCTCATTGAGGTTTTTCTTTTTTTGGTAAGATTTCTTAGCCAATTACTTGTGGAAGGCTTCATTGAGCACTGCCGGCATACTAATAACTTTGATAGTTAGCATACTCCTCAAGAAGAATAGTGATGTACAGCTTAATAATGTGTATGAACTGAATATTAACATTTTCATTTTGTGAAGTTAGATGATTAAAACTTTTCTTATTGGAATGGATGTTAAAATGCATAGTTTGCATGTGCTGGTATTGAAGACACTCCACCAAATTGAGGTATTCAGTTTTATTTGCACAAACCTGATAGACTTACATTAGATTTATTGTTTACATTAGCAAGGTTGTCTGAGTTCATCTTATTGTCTCAAAATAGAATTGATATTTTTAAAGTTTTAGTAACATTTTTGATTAGCAGAAAAGTACATGACATTATTGATTTTTAATTAATTGAATGTGAAAAACATAATAATGATGCCATTTATTGAGGACAGTTACCCTGCTAATTGACTTGTAAATATTCCCTTTTAATCTTCCTTACAAATATAGGAAATATATATTCTCATCTGTGTTTCATAGGTGAGAAAAATGAGGATTAAGTAATTTTTGTAGGGATTATGGCTCATCATACAGAATTTAATTTAAATTCAGAACTTTATAACTGGTAAGATTGGCTTGCTAACAGTCATACTGAACTGTCATTTAAAAGTCTAAATTGAAATATTCTGCCCTTTAAAAATTCAGAAATAGCTCAAAAATTCTTTTTATGAGTAATGATTTTCTAGGAATTTCAGGAAATGCATTCAGTACACTGTTTATATCATGTTGTCCCTCTGCAAGTGCTGTGTTTACTGAAGGAGACACAGGCCTAACCTTTCAGGAGGAAAAGCAAGGCAAGCCCAGTGATGGATGAGCAGTGCTGTATTATACTGTTCAGGAGTTACAGAGAGACAAAAAAGGAGCATCTAAGAAAACTAGGATTGGATCCAGGAACATTTATTTACATAAGAAATGAATATATTCTCTTAAAACTTAAGTATTAAGGAGAGACCCTGCCCCATTATTTAATAAGTAAATATATTTTTGATGTAAGTAGATTTTAAGTCTTTTTCTATGCATTACCATACCTCTGAATGTACCTTGGAAAAATGGAAACTAGTTTTTGATGTGCTAATTTTGTTTTATTTAATTGCATCCCTTAAGATGGAGGTCATATCTTGAAGAATTTGGGCTTGAGTTAAATCTTAAAGTCTTACGAACTAGCTAGCTTGAGCCTGAGTGGCTGTGTTATCCATGCTCATCCCGTTCCACTTCCGTTTTACACTGTGGTCTGTGCTGCCCTCTCCAGAAGAATGTTGCTCCTTGGCTGTCTCACACAGTAAAGAAGGTTAAGTAAGTTGTGGCATGCCAAGTAAGGAAGGAAACGTTTGGCTGATTGCAGAGGGCTTTGTGCCTGTGTGGGCATCAACCTGTGTTTTAAGAAAAGCACTAAATGATAGTGCAATATCTTGATGCAACTTAGAGACGTTCTATGAGTACACACACGGTGATGGAAAATAAACTACTCATCATAAAAATCTAATAGATATTAGATTTGAACTTCTGTGTCTTAATTTGTTTTGGATCTAATTTAATGCAGCAAGACTTAGTTATCTTTATTATTTTATAACAGTGAATTTGTTGCCCTCATAATTTACTAATATGAAGAGAATTAAAAACATAAAGAAAGTGACCTATACCACTGCAGTGTAGGAACAAATTAACTTCGGTTTTCTTTCCTTTAATATATACGTAGTTTTTCCTGACTTACTTTGATAATCACTTCAGAGGAATAAATAGACAGTGGATGTGGTTGGAGGAGTAGCTAATAGAGCATGTGTTAAAGAGTCATGAAAAGAGTGCCTTTACCCCAAAGGTGATTGAAATGTGAGATTGCAGTTAGGGTTTTCATTCTTGTTCCACTACTGATTGACTCAGGTAGTTAAGTTAATCTTTTTAAAATTAGCATTATATAAAGGAGGGAAGTGGATTATTACTTCTTAGGCCTTTACTTGAGCCACATGGTGAAATTTCAGTTTGCTAAGTTTGGTTTAGATCATTTGACTCAGAATTTTGGAGAAAGGGATGATGGAATTTGGTTTCCTAAATAAAATGATAGGTATTTGGTAGTACAGTGAGAGGTGATTCCAGTACCACGTAGTATAAAATGCTACTCTAATGTGTTTTCCTCTTTCCAAAATGAAGGACATCTAACTAAAGGGAGCAAGATACTTTTTTTGAGTTAGGACATATATAAAAATAGCGTTCAACCACATTAACATCAGTGTTTCTTTCATCTATACTTTGGAAGCTATAACTGTTTTTTTGGTGTCAACCTTAATTTAAATGTGTCTTTTTCTAGATTAAATATTTTGGAACATTTAAATACCGAAAAATATTTAAGTAGGAAATGAAGAATTATTAGTGGTAATTTTTAAATTTTGAGGATTTGTGTGTAGTCCTAAATGGATATATAGTTACTGCTTTTTTGATTAAAAAACTCAATTTTTATATGAGATTTTAATTTTTCGGCCCATAAATCCTCCCTCAACAATCTAATTCCTTTTTTTGAATATAGGTGCTTGTTACAAAAATATGCCTCATTGGAGGGAGTTTTTTAAATTCCACTTGCAAAGTCAGCATCAAAGAAAAGTGTTTGAAAACAAGTAGAGATATTTTTCACCTGTTATTTCCTGTAAATTCCTTTAACGCAGTGTGTGTGTCTAGAAGTTTACTTTTGAAGTAAGCTTTCCTGGAGCTTTTTTCTCTGAATAAGTACCTTAAGGTGTGAAGCATCCTCACAAATTATTTTGAGTAATTATTTTCCTTTTTTTGAATCAGTCTCTTACACTGAATCAAGAATGTGTATTTTCTAAGGTAAAATAACCACTAAGATACTGTTTTAATCATTGCTTTTGTATCTTTGACATTCTCTCTTCTTAAAGAGAAATGGCATGAGGATATTAGGGAAGTTGCCTGTCTTCATGTTCTCTTCGTCAGTTCTGTGACTGGTCTCAACTTTGTTTAGTGCATGGACTTAGCTCTACTTTGGTTTTCCTAGTTTCTCAGTTCAAAAATTCATTTTTGTTTGGTCCCTTATATTCCTGTTCATTTATTAGCATATATTCCTTATTCATTATATATTCATTATATATATTATATTCCTTCCTCATTCATATATTCCTTATTCATTTATTGTGAGAACTAAAACCTGAAGTAGCTATTGGACTGTATAGAGGAAACATGTTATGGAATATTTTATTAGCTACCACTTAGGTAATTTTAATTTTTTCTTTTTCCATATATGCTTTAAGGAGAAGTAGAATAAAGAAGTAGATAACTAAAAACATCTATCAGAGAGGGAAATGGCATAGTCAAAACTGGCACTATAATTCTCTACCTGGTTACCTCTTGGAATTATCCCTTAAATATTTAGCACCATTTCTCAGCCTCACCCTGTTTTAATCTTAAAATATTTTATTTTTGTCTCTTCTCATATTTTATATACTTGCAGTGTGCTATGGCATTTTTCATGTTATTCAACTTTGTATAAAATGAGTTTATATCATTGAATTTGTACAGGTGATTACCGTCACCACAGTACTTTATCCATTCATTCATTTAGCAAGTGCTGAGTAGGTCCCTTTTCACTTACAGGTGTTACTTTGGGAGGTAGGACAAGTGGTAACCCACCCGATCACTGCTCGTGCCCTTCCTGCTGGGAATGATGTAGTGATATACACGTGAGATTTCTGGTAGCTTTTTGGATAGCCCTGTCTTTGGTTTTGAATTTTCTTTTTTGACAAGATTTGTTGTCACCTTTTCCTAAAGAGTTGTTTATATTTAAAATGCTGAACAGGTGTCAGTTACATTTTAATACTAAAAATATTGGAGTTACAATTTTCAAATTCCTAAATTAATAGAACGAATATTTTATTTACTATTGTTTCCTCAGGAAATCTAGGAAAGAAGCGAATAGTCTGCAAAAGTATTTAATAAACT